AAGACCATGTCTACACAACAGCTTTGGTTGCAAACAGAACCGTTCCTCCTCTCCTTCCCCACCCTTATGACAGAAGAGGAACCAGGGGAGGATGAGGTAGAGGAGGAAGAGCAGTATGTATTAGAAAGGGATGCAGAAGACTACTCATCTGAGGAATCCTTTAACGAAGGACCCCAGGGTCAGGGTTTTTCTCAGACCCAAAGGGGCTTTGTGGCTTTTCTCATGAAAGTGGTCCACACTAGATGAAAACTACCATTTCCCAAGTCCTCTTCTCTGAAAGTTTATAGTTTTTGATCATAGCATCCACCTCAATCCATTCTTTTCTGTGCATTCTCACTTAAATTTTGTATGTAGACTAGGCTCACTGTGACAGGGTGTTTGCTCCACAAAAAAAGGTTCGCTCAGCACTACCCTACGCAAAGTAAGTTCACTAAGAAATTAAGTTTACCTTTGGTGGATCTGATTTTTTTTATTTTAATAAGGGTCCAATGAATGAGGTCCCAGTATTTAGGGACACTTTGGACAAACGCCCTGAGGCCTTATTTAAAGCGTCATCTGCTCTGTTTTGGGCTACTTTACAACCAGCAATTGTGGCTCTAGGCATGTACCAAAACCTTAAGTTCTGGGCCCATCACATGACAAGAGAGAGGGATTCTACTAGTGGAGATTCCAAAAGACAGAGCCCTGGAAGATTTCAGCTTCTCAGTGGACTTCACTCAAAAACTCTGTTGTTTAGGGGTCTTGTCTGTATGCCTCCTTGATGATTTATGTATGCTACAGCAGTGGCATTGTCTGACTGAACCCTTACAGGGAGGCCCTCCAGCTGCACCTACCAATGCAGTAAGGCAAGATGAATAACCCTCAATTCCAGGATGGAAAGATTGTCCAGAACTCCACCTCAACCAACCAGGATGGCATCTGTTGTAAGGACCCTCCAGCATTCGTGAGGAGATACAACTGTATAGAGCGAGCCATGTGCTGGGGAGTAACAACACTGAGAAATCCAATGACTGTGATCTCCTGTCCCACTAAGACATTCTTTTGGGGGAGCCTGGAATGAAATTGGGAAAAGGGCACTACCTTTAAAGAGGATACCATCTTTCACAGAACTTTCACGCAAAAGCAAATTGAGGGATTGTCCGAGTCTTGTGCAAGTCTGCCTGAGTCCTCTGTATACTCCCATGTACTTGTCCCCAGTCATGGAGGGCATCAGAGTTCATGGCTTCTTGCAGAATTGGGTCTGGGGCTTGAAGCCTGAGGCCTGAGACTGGTGAAAGGTATGCTTATTGGAAGTGGATGAAGCAGCAAGTTTCTGTACTGTAGGCTTTGATACTTTACAGGCTACTCTTAAACCACTGTCACTTTCTGTGTGTAATCAGCTAAACCAGGGCCAAACAAACATTCCCCTTAAAAGGGGCAAATGTTCTAAATTCTTATTGCAGGGCAACTCTGCTGACCTTCACTTCAGCCATGAAATCCTGTGCATGTGAAGTTGGGCTGCTCAGAAGAAAGTTGATTTCATCCTGTCTTGGGTGAATTTTCATATCCAAGAAAAAAAAGCAGTTGTTAAGAACAAACAGCAAAAAGTTGGTATTATAAAATCCCAGACAGTGCAAGTAATGCATCAATTGGAATGCAAAAAAATCATTTTATTGTGTGATCCCAAGGACCATATGAAGAATCAGCTCTTCACAAAGGGAACATACAGTACAGCCAAACAACATTAAAAGACAGTGTAGTTAAAAACATTCAGCCTATATATTGTAATAGCACCAAATTGGCTAGGGAAACCAGATAGCGTAAAGCTCTGTGAGGGTAATCCAGTGATTATAGACTGTGAAAATACTAGCACATAAATTGCTGCATAAACTTGATCAAAAAGTTCCCATAAGATCAGATCAAGATGATATATCTTCATGCATGTAGTTCCATATAAATATCCGGTGATGACTAGAAAAGTGTTATTGAGGTTGTCTCACCACTTAAGGCATCCACCAATAATCGAAATAACATCGATGGTGAAACAGCAAGATTGGTAATCCAACCAGTCCTACAAAATCAACAGTAATCAGTAAAATTATTGAATCAGTTAATTCCAAATATTATAGTTTCACACACAGGAAAACATGAATGTTAGTCATGTAAATGATATCCACAATAATGTGTAAATCAAAAGGCTTGAACATGAATTGCTCACAGATATCTCACCATGTAGGGTTTACACCGATCTTGATCGCTTCAAAAATGGAGCAGCTGTGCATATAAATTGATCAATACTTCAGAGTCAGCTGTAGTAAAAGATTAATGCTAGTAAAGCAATGGTGAAAAGGGTACAGCATCTGCTCAATATTGTGGAGTAATCTCCCAAAGAGAAAAGGTGAGTATCTTGGAGCTGTAAAAAGTCCAAGGTAGTAGATATATCAGATAATTGTTTCCAAAATAAAGATCAAGTCCGAATATGGCGGTGGATATTGAGTGATCACTTACTGCAACCTTCGGCTAGTGCACTGCCCGGAATTCATACCGCGGTACCGCGGTGTTCAGGTTTCATTTTCCTGTGCAAAGCTATTCCTGATTGCCAGCTTGAGCTTGTGCGCTACTACTTAACATCATTAAAAGGTAAGAAAAAGATTCTTAAAGGGCATAGTGCCACATATTCTGATTTCCAGTTAATAAAAAGGGGCAAATGTTCTAAATTCTTATTGCAGGGCAACTCTGCTGACCTTCACTTCAGCCATGAAATCCTGTGCATGTGAAGTTGGGCTGCTCAGGAGAAAGTTGATTTCATCCTGTCTTGGGCGAATTTTCATATCCCCACACTTTCCACCATCCATATTCTAGGAGTGGAAAATTGGCAGGTGAATTTTCTCAGCCGTCAACAGCTGTCTCTGGCAGTGTGAACTCTTCACCCAGAAGTGTTCGAGGAAGTCTGCCAATGGTGGGAAATGCCAGATGTGGTTAGTCTGGCATCCAGGTTCAGTTCAATAATGGATAGGTTCTCCAGGACCAGGGATACTTGTACATCTGCGGCGAAACACACCGTGGGACCAGTTCTCCCTAATTTATGTCTTCCTGCCATTACACCTTCTATCTCGTCTACTTTGCATGGTTTGAATGGAAGGTATTCTGGTGATTCTAATCGTCTTGGCCTTACCCAGGAGAATGTGGTACTCCAACATTGTGAACATGCCGACAGACAACCTTTGGCCCCTTCTGGATTGACTCGACCTCCTATCCTGTCCAATTTTCCTTCTATTCAGTCATTGGCTTTAACGGCATGAAAAGTCAAGGTCCTGAGAGACAGAGGAGTCTCTGATTCAGTCATTGTTAACCTGCTGAAGGCTAGGAAGGCAAATTCAAGGAAGATTTACCGCATAACTTATAAATCTTTGTTTGCTTAGTGTGAGGCTAGTACATTTCAGCCTCGCAAGTATGTCATGGGCAGCATCCTAGTTTTTCCTTAGGGTCGATTTGATCTGGTACTGGCCTTTGAGTACAACTAAGGGTCAGATTTCGGTCTTGGCTGTTCTTTTTCAGAGGCCGGTTGTTTTACATTCCTTGGTGACCTCAACTTGATACTTTCTGTCAATCTTCATTTGAAATCGTCCATGATATTTCTTTAGTCCTTCTCACTTGGAAGATTCTGGTTGCCATTGCTTTGGCTCAGAGACTTTTGGAATTGACTGCTTTTTCTTGTAAGGAATTTTTCCTGGTGCTCCATTGTGACATGCTGGTTCTATGACCTCAGACACTTAAGGTGGTTTCTCTGTTCCTTCTCAACCAGGACATTGTGTCCTTCTATCCTTAAAGTAGAACTAAAGGCTGAAGGGTTTTTTTACCTTCATGCATTCCGTATAGTCTCATAGACACACAGAGGTGGCTTGGGAGCGAGCACGCACAATTGTCTTCAGAACAAGAAACTTGCTCTGGGAGTACTCAGCAGGGAGGAGGGGCCTGGAGTGGCGGCAGGGAACCTGGGAAAAGGAGGATCGGGTCTGCTTTGTGCAAAACCATTGCATGGAACAGGTAAGTATAATATGTTTTTGGTATTTAAAAACAAAAATCTGAACCTTTACAACCACTTTAACCTACGATGCAGGGGGACAAGGCTCTTTAAATCTTTTGGGTGTGGTTTTTTCTATCAGGTGTTATCTGAAATCGACTGCTGCAATTCTTAAAGCGATCGTAAAGTCCACTTTTTCACTTTCACCTATAATAAAACATAAAACTCATAAAATATGCAACCACAAAAAAGTGGGGAGAGAGATCCCTTTGGGATTTTATTTTGATAGCACTATCAGCCTGTACATGTGTCATAGGTTTCAACGACAGTGAAAGATATTACCCTCTTTAAGGGCAAGTATACTTAAACCATGAAAATACATAATATAATAATGTGTATAAACACAATGATGCAATGCAGCCCCTGTACAATCAATATATCCTCATGGAAACTGCATACTGAAAATCTCTGAAGTACACAGATGTATGACGCAAGTGTCTAATTGCAGATTATTAATACTCAAATGTAGGTAAATGCATGCTTCCATCTGGAATGTCACCCTGAGGACAACACAGGCAGGCAGAGTTGCATAAATAAATCAATAAGCCAATGTATTGCTGCAATAAATCAATTTCAGTAAAATATACTACCTTTATTGAAGACATATACTATTATACAGTGAAAAGGAGTATATATAGTAGATAGTATGATAATGTATAGAAGAAACACAATAGCATAGTGTAGCCCAGGGGTGCTCAACCTTTTGGTTGCTAAAGCTGCTCTCACAGAACCCAAGCAGTGCCTGGAAGGTTGTGCCTATCACTATAGTAGAGCCAACTACTACAGCTCTTTTCAAATTTCCCAGTGGTCCATCATGCCTAAGATATGTTTACTAACTTTGTGTAAAGCAAGACCATTGCAGTATGCAAAAAAAAGATCATTCCTGGAGTTTGAGTGAATTTTATAGTCATCATTGTTTTGTGGTTTTCTACTGTAGACCAGATCCCTACTGAGCGTATTTGAGGAAGATGCTGGAACACTAACAGACTATACAAACCAGCTGCTTCAAACAATGCAACGAGTCTATGGGGCACAGGTAAGCCAATTTGCAGAACACGTTTGCTTTCTCATTAGTAGCTAAACTATATAAGCTACTGTATATTGTATTCTCTGGCTACTGAATGATCTACAGGTGACCGTAAAATCCCCAAACCTGTAATTTGATAAATTTATTGTATGCTGTGGTATTCAAATGAAAATTAAAGTTTAAGGCAACAATAAAATGCTTCTAACAGCCAGAAGTGCTTGTTTTTTCAACCTGGTTCTTGCTGGCTCATAGCTGGTGACATCTCAAAATAACTGATCAAAAGGACATTTGAGTTTTTAGTGCTTGCCAGAAAATTGCTGGTGTTTTTTATAAAGGTAGATTTCATTTTTGTGACCCCCCCCCCATCTCAAAGCACCATTCCAATACTTACTGCTAATGGGGGTGGTATACTTATATGTTGATTTCAGTCTTTTAGCTATAGAGAGACTAGCCAGTGTGCTTGGGTGCCAGGAGAGTATAGTTTAGATTGAGGGATATGCATTTGAAAATAATAATTTGAAAGTATTTGGATGAGATATAAATTACAGTTGCAAGAAAAAGTATGTGAACCCCTTAGGATTACGTGGAGTTTTGCATGAATTGGGCATAAAATGTGCTCTGAACGTCATCTAAGTCACAACAATAGAAGAACACAGTCTGCTGAACATAATACTACACAAACATTAGATGTTGCCATGGTTTAATTGCACATAACATGTAAACATTCACAGTGCAGGGAGGAAAAGGTTTGTGAACCTTTGGACTTAATAACTGGTTGACCCTCCTTTGGCAGCAATAACCTCAACCAAACGTTTCCTGTAGTTGCAGATCAGACCTGCACAACGATCTGGAGTAATTTTGGACCACTCCTCTTCATAAAACTGTTTCAGTGTAGCAATATTCTTGGGATGTCTGGTGTGAATCGCTCTCTTAAGGTCATGCCACAGCATTTCAATCGGGTTGAGGTCAGGACTCTGACTGGGCCACTCCAGAAGGCGTATTCTGTGCTGTTGCAGCCATTGTTTTGTTGAATTACTTGTATGCTTTGGGTCATTGTCCTGTTGCATCACCCATCCACTGAGGAGCTTCAGTTGGCGGACAGATGGTCGTACGTTTTCCTGCAAAATGTCTTGATAAACTCTGGAATTCATTTTCCCATCAATGACAACAATCCGTCCAGGCCCTGAGGCAGCAAAGCAGCTCCAAACCATGATGCACCCTCCGCCATGTTTTACAGTGGGAATGAGGTTTTGATGTTGGTGTGCTGTGCCTTTTTTTCTCCACACATAGTGTTGTGTGTTCTTCCCAAACAACTCAATCTTGGTTTCATCTGTCCACAGTATATTTTGCCAGTAGTGCTGTGGAACATCCAGGTGCTCTTTTGCAAACTTCAAACGTGCTGCAATATTCTTTTTGGACAGCAATGGCTTCCTCCGTGGTGTCCTTCCATGTACTCCATTCTTGTTTAATGTTTTTCTTATTGTAGATGTGTCAACAAAAATGTTAGCATGTGCCAGAGATTTCTGTAGGTCTTTAGCTGACACTCTGGGATTCTTCTTTACCTCATGCAGCATTCTGCGCTGTGCTCTTGCAGTCATTTTTACAGGACGACCACACCTAGGGAGAGTAGCAACAGTGCTAAACTTTCTCCATTTGTAGACAGTCTGTCTTACCGTGGACACATGAACATCAAGGCTTTTGGAGATACTTTTGTAACCCTTTCCAGCTTCATGCAAGTCAACAATTCTTGATCGTAGGTCTTCTGAGAGCTCTTTTCTGCGAGGCATGGTTCACATCAGACAGTGCTTCTTGAAACTAGTAAACCCAAAACAGGTGTGTGTTTTTTAAGGGCAGAACAGCTGTCAGCAACACATCCAATATCATCACACTGACTGGAGTCAAGGTTGGCTCACTCCTGGCTCCAATTAGTTCTGGGAGAAGTCATTAAGCTAGGGCCTCACATACGTTTTCCTCCCTGCACTGTGAATGTTTACATGTTATGTGCTATTAAAACCATGGCAACATCTAATGTTTGTGTAGTATTATGTTCAGCAGACTGTGTTCTTCTATTGTTGTGACTTAGATGACATTCAGAGCACATTTTATGCCCAATTCATGCAAAACTCCACGTAATCCCAAGGGGTTCACATACTTTTTCTTGCAACTGTAGATGAGTAATTCTAAACTGTTGACAGTCATGACCAGATCAGGCAAATCACTAGTGGAAATGTTTCATTATTGCGGTATGTTGAACAGTAATCTCCTAGAAGCTAGAAAATAGACCAAATACAGTTTGTGTAATTCAAATATAAGATGTTTATACCATATAATCTCTGCTAAGCACAAGCTAAAATATCCACATAACATACTTCCAATTTAGTTTTCAGAAAAAAAAATAACTCGGCTAAGCAGAAAACCCTCTGATCACAGAATATCAAATGGTCTAAACTGTTACATGCATGTGAAAAAAAATATTACTTTCCAGATATAGAACCCAGTGGTGGTAGTGTTCACTGTGGGGTTTTCAAAACTTTAAAAAGTGAACCTTAAACTTATCTGTCTTAAACCTTAAAGTGATACTAAACACACACTGTTTAATTTACATTGCCCTTCTCTTTCTGTACAGTGGGGATCGAAAGTTTGGGCACCCCAGCTAAAAATTTGTATTAATGTGCATAAAGAAGCCAAGGAAAGATGGAAAAATCTCCAAAAGGCATCAAATTACAGATTAGACATTCTTATAATATATTCTGACTCAGATTGTTGTGATAGCAATTTATCCCTTGTGAGACCTCTATGCCTAGCCTGTATAAGCAGATATAATCACTGTGGGCAATCCTTATTAGATAGCTTGAACTCACCAATACTGTGTTCATCCAGAAGTTGCTTTATTCTGTACATGTGACAACAGGGTACAGCAGAATGAATGGTTTCCAGTATTATGCGGTCAAAAGATGATAGATACTTTCTGTAGCGTACTATGCAGAATACATGTGTCCCTGTTACATGTGGACTGTTAGCTGCCTCCATGACACAGGAAGTGCTGTACTCAAGAAGAAGGGAGGAGCTTCATATACAAAGGAACTGTGTCATAGATCTCAGGGAGGTAATATAAAACAAATGCATTACCAAATAAGGCCACTGGATGGCAGCATAACTAACTATAGAAATGTCCATAGGAAATGGTACAAAAAATAAACTATATGAATTCTCATGAACATTAACATAAATATTAACTGTGTAACAGCATATATGTCAACAAAAGTTAGATTTTATTTCCATCATTTACACTTTCAAAATAACAGAAAACAAAAAAATGGCATCTGCAAAAGTTTGGGCACCCTGCAGAATTTATAGCATGCACTGCCCCCTTTGCAAAGCTGAGACCTGCCAGTGTCATGGATTGTTCTCAATCATCGTCTGGGCAGACCAGGTGATGTCAAGCTCAAAGGTTTTAAATGCCCAGACTCATCTGACCTTGCCCCAACAATCAGCACCATGGGTTCTTCTAAGCAGTTGTCTAGAAAACTGAAACTGAAAATAGTTGACGCTCACAAAGCCGGAGAAGGCTATAAGAAGATAGCAAAGCGTTTTCAGATGTCAATATCCTCTGTTCGGAATGTAATTAAGAAATGGCAGTCATCAGGAACAGTGGAAGTTAAAACAAGATCTGGAAGACCAAGAAAAATATCAGACAGAACAGCTCGCAGGATTGTGAGAAAAACAATTCAAAACCCACGTTTGACTGCATGTCCCTCCAGAAAGATCTGGCAGACACTGGAGTTGTGGTACACTATTCCACTATAAAGAGATACTTGTACAAATATGGTCTTCATGGAAGAGTCATCAGAAGAAAACCTCTTTCTACGTCCTCACCACAAAAATCATCGTTTGAACTTTGCAAATGAACATATAGACAAGCCTGATGCATTTTGGAAACAAGTTCTGTTGACTGATGAGGTTAAAATTGAACTTTTTGGCTGGAATGAGCAAAGGTATGTTTGGAGAAGAAGGGGCACAGAATTTAATGAAAAGAACCTCTGTCCAACTGTTAAGCATGGGGTTGGATCAATCATGCTTTGGGGTTGTGTTGCAGCCAGTGGCACAGGGAACATCTCACGAGTAGAAGGAAAAATGGATTCAATAAAATTTCAGCAAATTTTGGATGGTAACTTGATGCCATCTGTGAAAAAGCTGAAGTTAAAGAGAGGATGACTTCTACAAATGGATAATGATCCTAAACATACCTCGAAATCCACGGGGGATTACATCAAGAGGCGTAAACTGAAGGTTTTGCCATGACCTTCACAATCTCCTGACCTCAACATAATTAAAAATCTATGGATAGACCTTAAAAGAGCAGTGCGTGACAGACAGCCCAGAAATCTCAATGAACTGGAAGACTTTTGTAAGGAAGAATGGGCAAAGATACCTCAAACAAGAATTGAAAGACTCTTGGCTGGCTACAAGAAGCGTTTACAAGCTGTGATACTTGCCAAAGGGGGCAGTGCATGCTATAAATTCTGCAGGGTGCCCAAACTTTTGCAGACGCCATTTTTTTGTTTTCTGTTATTTTGAAAGTGTAAATGATGGAAATAAAATCTAACTTTTGTTGACATATAAGAATGTCTAATCTGTAATTTGATGCCTTTTGGAGATTTTTCCATTTTTCCTTGGCATCTTTATGCACATTAATACAAATTTTTAGCTGGGGTGCCCAAACTTTCGATCCCCACTGTATATAGATGATGGCTCTGTAATTATTTTAATAAAAAAAAAAAGTCTAAGTACCTTTTTTCTAAGTTGTCACATGGCCCAGATCTTTGCCAGCTGGTCTTCAGGTAAATATAAGCAGGAGGAGCTTCTAGCCCTCTGCTGTTGGTTACATGTTCAAAAAACAGAACAAAAACGGCCTGCGGGATACAGAGTAAAAAAATAAATAATTAGTATCAATAAACGGTGTTAAGTTACTAATTATTACCATACAAATATATATTTGAAATTAAATATTTTTTATTTTGTGGAAATAATATGGTGTGGACATATTTCTGATAGTTACAGTCTGTGTTACAGTCCTTCCAGCCTGTGTCTTTTAATAAGAGGGAGGTGATTTCTCCATTATTCTACATGCAATATCCTGCCCCCATTGTGTTTAGCTGGTTAGTGGGCATGGAGATGGTGGGAGGGAGTGGGCTGTCATTTATGTGTATAGGCACACGTGTGAGTATAGTCACATGGGATGCTCAGATGTGATGGGAAGGAAATACTTGGCATAGAAACTCACTGAAAACCGAGCATGTGCAGAGTTGCCTGTACAGCTGTAAAATCCCTAGCTAAGTTGGGAACAGAAGGTATAGAGAGAGCGCTTTTTGCAGAATACAGAAAATGAATCTCATAGTGAATGAATATGAACAGCATGTAATGCACCATTTATTGATAGTTTAGTGACATTTTAAATATTTCCTAACACCTTTCTTAAGGGCAGTTCACACTACATATGTTTCAGTGTGCATTTTTCTGCATCCAGAATGCACAGAAAGTAGCTTATTTGGTTGTCAATGTCATAGTTCACATCAGTGCTTGCAGTTCCAGTGCATGCCGGTTGCAGAGAAAAAAGTAGAGCAGGCTGCATTTTTCCTACACAGAACTCTACTGGAACGTGGTAAAATGCATCAAAAACGCACCGGAACAGACCAAAACACACCAAAAACACACTGGAATGCACATGTCCCTATATAAAGTGAAGTAAAAAAAAAGGGAAAAAAATTAACCGGAACGCATAAAAAAAACGCACCACAATGCATCAAAAATGCACCTGAATGTGCCCAAAATGCGCATACACAAACGCATCTGGAACGTAGCTGGACTGCATTTCTATGGTGTGAACTGGCCCTAAATCTTACCTTGACCTTAAAAGAGAAGTGTGGGGTTTTGAAAAAAAAAAACAAACCACATTATACGCACCTAGGTGGATGCAGCATCGATCCAATGCAGCATCTGTCCCCCACTGGCTCTGCACTGAGAACTGAGCAATCAAAGTCGGTGATCGCTCAGTTCTCCCTCTGTACACTGAGCAGAGAGCCATGACTGTCAGTCACTGGCTCTCTGCTCTGCCCCTTTAGCGTTCACTGGAGCGCTGGGCTGTGGTAGGGGTGGGAGGGGCTGGCTCAGGCTCTGCAGATTGCTGAGAGCCTGAGCCAGATGCTGGTCCAGGCTTCTGGGTGGATCCCGACCATATAGTTGAAATCTTTTCAGAGCCTGAATGGGCTCTGCGATGCTGCTGATAGCGGGCTTCAGCTCGCTGTTGGCTGAAAAAGGGTCACAGAACAATCGGCACTCCTCTGATCCATGGAAAAGGTAAAGCCAAAAAGGGTTTGGCTATACTTCTCCTTTAACCCTTTTATCTTAAAGTATATCCAAAAACAAAAATGTAATATTGTGCAATTTACCAATCCTTAAATGTGGTGTCTGCATTAATTATTTTTATTTTTTTTACTTTATTTTCACCTAGTTATCCTGCCAGTAACACACTACCTGTCTTAGGGTGTCTCCATTCTATGGAGGAGAATTGGAGACATCTTTTTGCACAGTAACATTGTCAACCTGTGGAGAAGGTAGCATTGGATGCACTAGTAGATTTAGATGGACTTTACATAAGTGGCTAGCAGATTAAAGCAGAATGCCAGCTAACACATTTTTAAGCAGTTACAACAAAAGTTTTTTTTTTCCTTTTGGGTAAGGGTTTTACTTAAATGAATAAAAGGCTAAGTATTGAAAGCATCAGTGTTTTATTTTGGATAAAATTTTGAAGACTTTGTCTTCATGTACACTGGGTATTTTTACAGCTGCAGTTTTTGGCTTTTTGGATTTTTTGTCCATGCGCACATAGGCTGTAATCAGCGTTTTTTGGCTGGAAAAAACCTCCAGAACCAGTTGGTTTTTTAGTGGAGTTTTTTTTGCTGTAAAAACGCTCTAACACTGATTAAGCCTGCAAACCAGCGCTTTTTGGACGTTTTTTGAGTATACAGGAATATGAGAAAGGGTTTGACTTAAACACACACACACATACACATCTCTAATGATGTCAGTCAGACATCCACAGTGCACCTTTCAGCCAAGGACAAATACCATCGTCTCAGCTGCAGTTGACATGGTGAAGCTCAGAGCAGTGTTATTTCATCTTGACAAGATAGGGCAATTTTTTCCTGATCACATTTATATTTTCTGCTCTTGGAACTTTGTCCTCTTTCAGACTGTATATATAGTGTTTATATAGTGCTGTGAAAAAGTATTTGCCCCCTTCCTGATTAATTTATATTTTGCTTATATGTCACACTTAAATGATTCAGATCATCAAACAAATTTTAATATTACACAAAAATAACCCAAGTAAATACAAAATGCAGTTTTTAAATGAGAATTTAATTTGTTAAGGGAAAAAAGCTGTCCTGGCCTTTGGTGAAAAAGTAATCCCCCTCCCCTTGCTAAATCATGAATAAACGCTGAATAGTCACATTTTCTGGAAAGCTGAGTTAAATTTCACTTGCCAAATCCAGCCTGATTACTGTCAGACCTGTTGAATCAAGAAACTACTTAAATAGAAGCTGTCTGACAAAGTGAAGTACCTTAAAATATCTCAAAAAGCCACACAACATGCCGCAATCTTAACAACTGCATTTTGTATTTACTTGGGTTATCTTTGAGTCATAATAAAATGTGTTTGATGATCTGAATATGCGAAAAAAAAAAAAATCTAGAAAGGGGCAAATACTTTTTCACTTTTGTGTATGTCTGACGGCAAAGGAATCAGAGGTCAAAGAAGAACATGAGAAATATTTATGCAATGACATTTTTCTTTTCAGTGAGTTTTTTCCTTGTGTGTTGAAACTGTACAGGTATTTGCTGACTTAGATATTTGTGTTCTTTTTGAAGAATGAAATGTGTCTAGCAACCCAGCAACTGTCCAGCCAACTTCTCGCATATGAAAAACAGGTACAAATATTTTCCAGATGAGTGGTTATAATAAAGCTTTGTGTATTTGATAATGGAACAAAAGTAGGATAATGTGATTGTACAAAGTCATTAATATAAAATAATGTTCATTGAAGCCTAAATAGTGAAAAGCGCACAATGCCAAAAATTACATTATGACCAAAAGCTTTTAGTCAGTGGTCCTATTTTTATTGGCCTTTTTAAGTTCAAAAGTAAATGGTAAAACAGTGAATCACTGTGTGATGTTATTTCAAGGTAGCCGATTAAGTCTTTTTTTGGAATTTTGCTGTAGTTCTAGAAAACACATTAGCTTTTTCATTTTTTTTAATCATGTGATTAAAAAAACATTTATTTGTAATTGGGTCTGTATACTGTCCTTGCACAGGAGGATTCTTTACTGGGCAGGTAAATATAGTATGTGGTCTCATTTGCTGAGTTAGTGTCAAGGTCCTACCTTTCTTCTCAGCTTGTGCATCTCCATGAGCTGGCATCCATCTTGGTTTTCTGCAAAGCATGGTGGGAACCTTTATGCCTTCAGGCTTCTGCGGCTCCTCCTCAGAAGGGTGTGGTTGAGCACATTTAAACCTCCTGTCTGCAAGTGTGCTCTGCACTTGTGTCCTGTATGTTGCCCTGTTGCAAGCGCTTGTGTTGTTCTCATTGCTCTCCTGGTAACCGACTCGGCTTGGACAAGACTACTCTCTGCGTTAACCCTTTACCTGACCTCCCGTTGCTGAACCCGGCCCGTGACCTGAGTATTCTTTGCCTACTATCTAGTACTGTCTGCTCTGTTGTTATTGACCCGGCTTGTCTGACTACTCTACTTGTGTTCCCATCTAGCTCCCACCAGCTGTACGCCATTGGCGGCAGTCGTTATCGCAGCTGGGGTCACTCGGGGGCCGCGACCTGGTCTCAGGCTGCGTCAAGTCCATCCCCACCATCAGGGGCCCTGGTCTGTGGGTAGTGGCTGTCGTCAGTCGCAGCGTGACCGTACCATAGGCCTGCCTGCCCATTCCAGCGTTCCTGCCCTGACAGTTAGGCCTATTTCACAATGGCGATCCTGTTGCTGGTGACAACTCCCCAGCAACAGAATTACTGAGACTATATACAAAAACACCCATACACTCCCCCATTTCTACAGTATTGCTCTTCTGCTAGTGAGAGAGATTCTGCAGCATTTCAGGCACCAGCGAGGGAGGACGCTATATTGATTTTGGGCAGTAAGAGTACTGTGAGCGCATAAGCTGATTGGTTCCTTGTGTTTCTTCTTCCTGTCGCACTCCAGTCCTGCTGTAAAGGGAATTTGAGGCTAATGCTAGGTCATATTCAGGTATTTTACCTTGCTTGTCTTAAAAGAATACATTTAATGATGAATCAGTTCATTTGTGTTGTTTATATCTGCCTAGAATTAAGCTTTAAAGTGTTACTATACCCACAACAGTGAAATCAGTCTGCATATGCAGTAAAGCATACTTGTTATACTCACTGTGGAACCTAAGGGGTTAATCCTCTGCATTGTGTAAAAAGGCTGTTTGATTCTGTCTTCTCTGCTCCTCCCCTTCTTCTACTCTCCCCAGTCCATCTGCTGATAGTACAGAACTCTAGCAGTCACTCTGCACATGCCCAGTTTAGTGTGTATTGCTAGAGAGAGTTTTTTTTTCTTTTGGGAGTGTGCATGTGATCAGCATCAGGCCAATCAGCGGCGACCAGACAGAGGGTCAGGGGTCATGGAGCCTCATAGGACAGTCAGAGGAGAATGAAAGCTCCTCCTACAAGATTAAACAGTGCTCAGCTGGACATTGATAGAAGTCACAAGTCTGCTATATACTGCTTATGAGAAGGTATTTAGCAGTTTATATTTATTAAAATAATTGCATTTCCATGTTCGATGTACTGTGGGTGACCAGTTATAGTGAATGCAGGGTCCTGGGTTTAGTTACACTTTGAATAATAATGGATTTGGTCATGCTGACTTGTGCCCCATTGAGTTAAGTGAAATTTGATTTTTAGTGATGAGTCCATTTTTATATTTGTATCACTGTATGCACAACATCTTTACTATTCTAGGGCCTTATGTTTTGGTTATGTCGAACATATGCTGTTTATTTTTTATCGTTTGCACCAGCTGTTCATTGTAATCTAATTTTTGTTTCTATCATTTATTTCTAGAATTTTGCTCTAGGAAAAGGAGATGAAGAAGTAATATCAACCTTACAATACTTTGCAAATGTAGTAGATGAGGTAAGTGCAACTTTGTTTTTCTTTTTCTTAGATAAAAAGGTTAATGTAAAGTGAGACTTACTTTTTATATCTCTATGTACATTAGAAACACAGCCAGTGTAGTAAATGATTGAAATTAATTGGAACTCTGTCTTACCTATAAAAGTCTTTTGTAGGGGTCAAAACAGTGATTGACGATCTTCTAAGCAGTGGTCTTTTTTATAATTTTAGAAGGTCAAGACCGTGCAAAGAGAAATTGGGTGTATTAATCAATAGTAACCAACTGGAGATCAGTTTATGACAATCCGTGTATATGTTTGTTATGTACAGCCACAAACCACACATGTATTACTAGCAAAAAAAGGCATAAATAAATTAAAATGCAAATAATATCCAAGAAGTGAGGAGTTGAAAGTCTTTAAAAAGCAAAAGTTCCCTACTGGTCCTCTTGACTGATCTCTAAAAACAACAAGGGTGCAGAGATGTAATGAAAAAAAAATACTATATCATTTATTCCATAAACAAATATTATCCACTGACAATAGAGGTTGCCTGTATCCTGCATGTATGAATGTTTGAACTGGTACAGAAAGCCAGAAGCGAAGAGATGGAAGGCAAGAAGATGGTGAACAAGCCCTGGTACCAGTGTCCATCAGACCCGCTCTACAGCTGTCAAACCTGGTTGCGTCTATGGTCTACATCCAACTAACATGGAGATGGCAACCTCTGCCTTGTCTCGATGTGCGTTGGATGTGGCCATAGATCCTGCCATGTTTGACAGCTGTAGCTCCTAATATTTATCTTGAACATAATTAAAACAGTGGAATGGCATGATAGCTTTGCCGTGTCAGCTTTCATATTTTCTCAGTACAAAGTTATTAAAGGTTTCATGCATAGGGCCTTAAAGTATACAGTATGTAAACCCTCACCTTGTAAAACAGCCCATTCAGTTTAAAATAGAAGTGAAAGGCAAAACACGTGTTTATAGATATAAAAAACCCCACCATTATAAACACTTATTTCCCTTTTTTTATAAGTGATCACATTTCCTCTGTTCTCAGCTGCATAAGAGCTGGAGGAGGAGAAACAGCAGCACAGTGAAAGGCTGTACGGGAAGGGGAGGGGGTGAGCAGAAGTGTGATCATTGGAGGAGAGCAGGCTGAGTTCCCAGCATAGCTAGAGGACTGACTAAACTTTGCTTTCATGCCTAGTGTGGTCAGTTTTTGATAGGAACGCAGAGGGACTGGCTGGAACACCAGGGATTTCACACAAAGGAAGCAATACAAAGAGAACAGGATTCCCCATTGATTTGTATGTGCAGCATTCAGCAGGCGACAAGAACGATCCATGGCAGGCCAACACCGCCTCGAGCACGAAGCATGTCGTGTCCGCAGTATGAAAACATCCCGGTCTGCTGCTTTAGATGGAGGGGCGGCTGGTGGGCAGCAAAAATGCATCTCGACTGCACATTTTTTTTCTACCCTCCAACCGCTAGTCTGAACAAGGCCTTACTGGTACAATCTTTAGAAAACAAAATTAGTTATTCAGTTTTTTTAAATACCTACTGTATATGATCTCTCTGAAAATGTGTACATGTACTTGTGTGTACATGATTTCACATGACTGACCCTTTAGATAGGCTTTGATTTTATCTTGTCTTTGATTTTATGTAATAGGCAGGGAAGATGAGGTAGGTGCTGATTGAACAGAATCTTTGGTGGTAAATATAAAATTGCAGTTTACACCTCAGTTAGATACAGGCTGGACATCTCAGCCTTTAAAGGAAATCAATGACTAAACTCGTAACACATTTATGTTTGTAGCCTGCCAGTTATATTGTTTGTGTTAGGCTGTGCAGCATGTGCTTTTATTATATGAACAGCACATAAAAAACTAAACGTGCTTAACCACTCTTCTATTGGGACAATTTGTTTTAAAATGTTAAAATCTGCATTTTTTTTAAAGAAAGTTAGTTTAAAAACCCCCCCCCCCCCCAAAAAAAAAATTAAATATTATTTGAAAGCAGAGGCCCTAGAGAATAGTAGTAGTTGGAATTTCAATGTTGTACAATATCTACACAACTGTTTACAATATGTTACAAAAAAAAAAAACTAAAACCTTGAAACAAATTAACTTAAAGCCCCCCAAAGGAACAGGAGAGCCCAGGAACCACGGTGGGTGATGGGGGAGGTGACACATTTACTCTACTGCAAAAGTGATCTGTGGCTTACAGCCCAGCCCATAGTTTGCTGGAAAAAAAGCCCAGTACCAAGCTGCAGCCATGAGCTATTTTTAACACCTTTACTACCAGGATGTTTATAAGTCTACGTTGGTAGACGAAATGTTAAATTTCAGCTTGCATCACTGGGGCTTACAAAGCCCCGGTGAGCAGATTGAAACACGTCAGGGGGCATGGTTACTTGGCAGAGACATGTAGGCTGAAGCCAATCCTCACTCACATGTCATGGTGGCTGGTCAGAAGAGCGGCGTTTCCTTTATCCACTACATTTATTGCTTTGGATGCCTGTACCTCTTCATGCCTATGGATCATGGGAATAGAATCCCTGGCTTTGACTGGTGTTCTGAGCTTAGGGCAAAAAGTGCTACTGGTGGTCCCAGCTACCATAATGTATTTGGTTTGCTGTAGAGGATGATCTCTTTGATTTTTTTTTTTAACAAAAATTATATATTGTGATATGGGGTAGTTAGCTCTCATGGTAGATGCGTTGATACAGTCCAAAGCAAACAGGAACTATATTTAAGGGCCAGGTAGCTCACTTTTATTAAAACAGCAGAAATCAAAACGACGTCCAATATAAGGTTTCCCACACAGAAAAATCTTCTCCAGCTTTAGCAGTCTAATCAGCTCACTCGGCTTCATTTGTAATACCACACTGTACCTCTTACTAGCCTGTCAGACTGTGTTGTGCCCTATGGATTGGGGTTCTCCTGACACCCCGACAGGAGCTGACCCGACTCCTGGAACTGAGACCCTTTTGTCTCTTGGCTTCTGGCTGGGCCCTCTGACCCCTCAATGAGACCTTTCGTCTTCCACACTGGGAGCCGTCTCCAAACTGGGAGCCCTGAGCTATCCTCAGACCTGAGTATATAATGAGACTGCACACCTGTGTACTCAGCCAGGTTGCAGGTGTCTAGCAAAACCCAGACCCAGGACTGAATGTTCCCATCCAGAACTACAGATCCCTGCACAAGTCATAGAGACCACTATTCTGCACAGAATATAGTATTTTTTTTTTATATTTTGGGCCAGTTTTCCTTTGATAATACAAAAAAATCAGGAGATATGCATTGCCATTTACCACCAAATGAAAACCCAATTTGTCCTGAAAAAACAAGGTATAATTCACCTGGATGTACAAAGTAGTTGTGAATGATATGTATGATTTTACTAACATATGTCAATGTTGCAAAATTGTGCTTAGGCATTTAGATTTGTTTTACCCTTAGGCATGAAGGGGTTAAGTAATAAACAATTTAAATGTTGTTAGCTTTTTTTATTTCTGGAAGCCCTGTTATAAAGATTGTGACCTGTAGCAGTAAATATTTTGAATAAGGTTCTACTTCAAAGTGTTACTTAAGGTAATTTTTATTTTCTTTAATTAAAATAACAAACATGTTATACTCACTTGCTCTGTGCAATGGTATTGCACAGAACAGCTCTGTTCTTACTCATCTTGGGTTCCCCGTTAGCGATTTCGGCTCCTCTTCTTCAAGCTGCTTGCTTTAGGGACACACAGTGAATGCTCTCTCCTGAGCTGTATGTCTATGTAGCAGTAAATAAAGCCTGTCTTAGATATAATATTGTTCCACATCTGCTGGTTCTGTATTATTGTGTAGCCATTGGTCACAGCATATGTTATTTTAAACACTGAATGCTCTCTGTCAATTGCCTTTATTTGGAGGGGATTGTTTTTCCTGGGGCTTACCTACAGGGGTCACAATTGCGATCCAACCCCATGTTGCAGGGGGCCCATATGGTCCCCCTGTACACCTGGACAGGAGAAGGGCGTGGAGGCCGCTGCATATAGAGGAACCGATCTCTCCATGTTCCTCTTGCAGCAGCTGAATGCCTGCAGGAGTGAGGAGAAGCTGGCATTGAACAAGTGCAGGAGGAACATGGAAAGATCGGTTCATCTACAGTCAGGTCCATAAATATTGGGACATCGACACAATTCTAACATTTTTGGCTCTATACACCACCACAATGGATTTGAAATGAAACGAACAAGATGTGCTTTAACTGCAGACTGTCAGCTTTAGTTTGAGGATATTTACATCCAAATCAGGTGAACGGTGTAGGAATTACAACAGTTTGCATATGTGCCTCCCACTTATTAAGGGACCAAAGGTAATGGGACAATTGGCTTATCAGCTGTTCCATGGCCAGGTGTGTGTTATTTCCTCATTATCCCAATTACAATGAGCAAATAAAAGGTCCAGAGTTCATTTCAAGTGTGCTATTTGCATTTGGAATCTGTTGCTGTCAACTCTCAAGATGAGATCCAAAGAGCTGTCACTATCAGTGAAGAAAGCCATCATTAGGCTGAAAAAAACAAAACAAACCCATCAGAGATAGCAAAAACATTAGGCGTGGCTAAAACAACTGTTTGGAACATTCTTAAAAAGAAGGAACGCACCGGTGAGCTCAGCAACACCAAAAGACCCGGAAGACCACGGAAAACAACTGTGGTGGATGACCGAAGAATTCTTTCCCTGGTGAAGAAAACACCCTTCACAACAGTTGGCCAGATCAAGAACACTCTCCGGGAGGTAGGTGTATGTGTGTCAAAGTCAACAATCAAGAGAAGACTTCACCAGAGTGAATACAGAGGGTTCACCACAAGATGTAAACCATTGGTGAGCCTCAAAAACAGGAAGGCCAGATTAGAGTTTGCCAAACGACATCTAAAAAAGCCTTCACAGTTCTGGAACAACATCCTATGGACAGATGAGACCAAGATCAACTTGTACCAGAGTGATGGGAAGAGAAGAGTATGGAG